TGAATTGGATAGAACCATCGTTTAAAAAAAATTGGCTTGGAGTACCAGAAACATCTTGATATGCTACTTAAGAATAAATGATTATCTCAACTATTTGTTCCTTGGAAACAAATAACGGGAGGCAGGTGGGAAAGAAAATATACCACAAACCAAGGGAAGACTCAAGGGAGGTGTGAAAATAACAGATTCTGGGGATCAGCAATCAACAAATAAGGTCTATTTTTTCTTAACATAATTAGTCTTCTCACCTATCTCCCAAGTGCCGGTCATTAGTCAAAGCCCCCCAAAAAAATAAGGGAGTGACTCAACAGATGGACGCCATCAATAACAGTGGATGATACAAGCAGAGAAAGGCTGGAACCAGAAATACACACACAACGTCAATATCAGAGCAATATCAGAAGTGGGACTAGAGAGAGCCAGGCTTTGATCCTAGCAGAGGGGAAATGGTCAGAGCATGGCAGGCCTCATGCCGGATGAAGACTGGGATGCTAATCGGGTTACAGAGCACAGATGGCGGTAGAGCCCAGTTACAGGACCTGGGGACCCATCGGAGGACTGGGTCTCAGCGGTGGAGCAGACCCAGAGGCCAACATGCAGGAAGGATGCTGAGTCTTACATGTGGGTACCACACCACTTAAATGCCTTCTGTGTCTGGGCCTGAAAAGTCCTGGGAATTGAGGGAGCATCGAAGAGGCCACCACTACAAGAAAGAAGGCATGTGCGGGGGGGGGGGAGGGGGGGTCACGAAGTGGGGGCCTGGACTGAGCTAAGGCACAAACACTCATCCCTAGAAGCCAGTGCTCAGGGGCCCAGCACAATTCTAGAGAAGTAGATAGGCCTGAACTTCTGATGTTGACATCTTAGCCACAGAGCCCAGCTCAGCCATACCCACTACACATTTTCCAGAAGATGGGGGGCCATCCCCCCACCTTGCCTCTCAAGCAGCAGCCTAGGAGGGGGTCAAAGCAATCAGTCTGTGGGGCAGAGGACAGAGTTTTCAGGGAGGGTACAAAGAGGTTAAGAAGTCCTTCTCTGGGCTGGGCTACACCCCCCCCCTTTTTTTTTTAGTTCAAATTTTTATTTAAATTCCAGTTAGGTAAGGGGTGCCTGGATGGCTCCGTTGGTTAAGTGTCCAACTTCAGCTCAGGTCATGATCTCACAGTTCACAGGTTTGAGCCCCGCGTCGAACTCTGTGCTGACAGCCCTGAGCCTGAAGCCTGCTTCAGATTCTGTGTCTCCCTCTCTCTCTCTGCCTCTCCCCACTTGCATTCTGCCTCTCTCTCTCTCTTTCAAAAATAAATAAACATAAAAAAAAATTAAATTCCAGTTAGTTAACATACAGTGCAATTCTGGTTTCAAGCGGGTCATCACTACATCCAACATGCAGTGCTCATCTCAAGTGCCTCCTTAGTGACCATCCCCCACCTGGCCCGTTTCCCACCCACCTCCCTGGGTCAACCCTCAGTTTGTTCTCTATCATTACAGCCTCCTGTGGTTTGTTTCCTTCTCTCCTTTTTCCTTCCCATATGTTCATCTGCTTTGGCTCCCGTTTCTGAAAGTGGATTCTCCGGCCCCAGTTGAGTCTCCCTAGCTGTCTGTGCCCAGGCTTGCAGATTCCTGGGCAAGAGGAAAGGCCGGTGATGCTTTGAGTCATGGACTCGTAAGGTTGACCTAGTAAGCAACAATCAATAACGAGAACAGAGTCTGATATCTGAACGCTGCCGGAACAGACCCCTAAAGCCTGAGGCACCAATGCCGACACCAGGTGGCAGGCAGAAGCCTCGGTGGCCCTAGATGCAGGCTAAGAGGGCAGCAAGAAAAATACAGTTGGAAGCTGGAAGAAAGGGGATCCTTGCCACATGGTGACAGAAAGTCTGGCAACATTACCAATGGAAGTAATACAGAAAACCCTCCTGGGGCGCCTGGGCGGCTCAGTGGGTTAGACCTCTGACTCTTGATTTCAACTCAGGTCGTGATCTCACGGTTTGTGAGATCAAGCCCAAATGCGGGCTTTGCACTGGCAGCACAGAGCCTGCTTGGGATTCTCTCTCTCTCCCTCTCTCTCTGCCTCTCCTGCTTCCACATGTGCACACTCTGTCTAAATAAATAAATAAATAAATAAATGTAAAGAAAAACTTCCTAATAAATTTAGACATACGGCCAAGGAGATGCCAGATGTGCCCACTGGCTTCCCATCACTGCCTAGGATACACTGCAAGAAAAGAGAAGCTAGTTCAAGAATACATTGTTCCATATGAAGGCGCTAGGACTTGCTGAACCTGAAAATAAAACTATTTTCTTCTTCCCAGCTTCTGGAGATAGCAAATGATTCTCGAAGTGAGAGAAGGTCTCAGTCCACAGATCACATCAAGGGTGGGAAATCTAACACAGTGAATCATAGAAACTTTCAGACAGACAGAAGCCCCCCCCCCCCCCCGGGAATCTTAACTCTCTTCATTCAAGAGTGCATCCAAGAATCCCAAGGGCAAATCCTCACGGTCCTCACAGATGGCCCAAAATGGAGGAAGGCTTCTCTCAGAGAGGTGTCTCATGGCTTTTGTTTGAAGGAGTGAGGGTCTGCCATTCTCAATGGCCCGGGGAACACCTCATGAGGAGAGCCCAGTGAGAGCCAAGGGCCTGGATCGTCCTCAGAATACGGGAAGGTAAAGAAGTGAGCTCCCATCCCAGTTAAGTCAGGTCATCCTTCCTCCGGTTAGGCTTCCCCGATGTTCTCAGCTGATCAAAGAACTAAGCGCAAAACCCAGGCCCCTAATGCAATATACCATCTTGAGAATTTTCCTTGGGATTCTAAAAAGAGATTGCTTACATCTGACGGAGGGATATCTCTGTCGCCTGAGTGATGCATCTCCTCCCTCGGGCTTAACAGAGACACAGCCACCTGTATTCCTCAGGAAGATACATGGATTAAGAAAGGCAAAACCACTAACTCAGAAGCAAGATTGTGCTCTATCTTCGCTTTTTTTCTCTTAGCAAATGGGGCCATAATTCCAAGTAAATGGCATGTGAAGCCGTTAAGAGCCAAGCCCCACATTCACATTTCGATGTCGCGCTGGTTGTAAATAATACGCCTGGCTGCACCAGGAACCAAATTGCTCGTTAACTGCCAACATTAGTTGTTTAATGATCTGGAGAGCAGAAGCTGCCAATTATTGTATTCCTTCTTAAAATGCCATTGAAAACCCATACATGTAATTATTATACCTTTTTTGTTAAATTTTTACGATTCTTTTTAATCTGCTGAGCTGGAGGCTCACTCAACCTGTGAAACGCAGAGAATGCCTGAAGGACGTCATGACGTAACTGGGTTAAAAATACACTTATGGCACCTGGACGTGAGCCCCTGCTCTGCCACCACGTAGCTGATGGAGTAAACTTAACCAAAAGATATACCCCAGGGCCTCAACCTCCTGATCTGCTCACTGGGACCTCAATATCTTTCCCACCTACCTGACACAGCTGCTGTGAACATAGACTAACATAGCAGTACAGAGGAGAGGTGCCTGGGTGGCTCAGTCGGTTAAGGGTCTGACTCTTGGTTTCAGCTCAGGTCATGATCTCACAGTTTCATGAGTTTGAGCCCCACAGCAGCCTCCGAGCTTACAGCATGGAGCCTGCTTGGGATTCTCTGTCTCCTTCTCTCTCTGTCCCTCCCCAACTCACACCATCTCTGTCTCTCTCAAAATAAACAAACTTAAAAAAAAAAAAAAACAATGCAGAGGAAGGTTTAAAAGCATTATTCAGATGATAGGGTAAGATACTATTTTCAGGTTGTGTTGGTTTTTTTTTTTAAATATTTTTATTTATTTCTAGGAGAGAGAGAGACAGTGTGAGCAGGGGAGGGTCAGAGAGAGAGGGAGACACAGAATCAGAAGCAGGCTCCAGGCTCTGAGCTGTCAGCACAGAGCCCAACACGGGGCTCGAACCCACGGACTATGAGATCATGACCTGAGGGAAAGTCAGACGCTTAACCGACTAAGCCACCCAGGCGCCCCATTCAGGTTGTGTTTTTGACCTACTAATTAATGGGAAAATATGATCCTTTTTTTTTTAATTTTTTATTGTCTTTATTTTGAGAGAAAGAGAGGGAGCAGGGGAGGGGCAGAGAGAGAGGGAGACACAGAATCAGAAGCAGGCTCCAGGCTCTGAGCTGTCAGCACAGAGCCCAACACGGGGCTCGAACCCACGGACTATGAGATCATGACCTGAGCAAAGTCAGACGCTTAACCGACTGAGCCACACAGGCACCCCTGGAAAATATGTTCCTAATAACTACCAGGTTAAGGAGGGATTATGATCCACTGAGAATCCTCCAGAAATCTAGTATCTCTGACTAGAATGTTAAATCGAGTACATCACCTTGTCTCATATCATCGTTCTCTCTTCCTATAGAAAGGGGCGACCACATCCAAAGCCTCATGGAGCCTCTACAGATACATGATACTGTACAAACATCTGCTAGGATTATATGGCACATGGGGTAGCTCTAGTCTCTAAACTGGTAAACAAACAGAAACTGGAAGTCTAAACCATGGTACCTACACAGATAACTTATTTTTTATTATATGTGCATATGCAGTTTTATTTTTAAGTTTATTTTTTTTTTTGAGACAAAATAAGAGCATGAGTGGGGGAGGGGCAGAGAGAGACTCCCAAGCAAGTTCCGCGCTGTCAGCACAGAGCCCCACGGGGGCCTCGAACTCACAAACTCACGAGATCATGACTGGAGCTGGAATCAAGAATCGGATGCTCAACAGACTGAGCCACCCCGGTGCCCCTGTGTGTATGTAGTTTTAAGAGTCTTATCTATCCCTTTACAAGGTGGCCATGGTGCCCGTGTATTATTTCATGAGTTTTAGCTCCACTTCCCACAAAAGCTCTGAAATGTCCAAGTGTGACATAAGTAACAGGTAGAATGTTACTAAGGACAAAAGCCGTCCTTATTCCACACAACTGCTTTAGAGTCTCTGTTCAGTTACCTGAAGCGGCCAGCAGTTTGGCTTCAAGCAGCGCCGGTAGTTGGGTTTCAATATCATTGACTCTCTTCCTGAGAGTGCTGCAGATTCTCTCACTCATACACACCTAGAGGGAAAGAAATGGCCATGAACCATGGTTTCCTCAGGTAAAAATCAGAGGGCAATGGAACAGCCGGCCAGAGATTTCTGGGTTTGCAAGGAATTACGAGGGGTGGTAAAGAGTAACTGAAGGAGAGTTCTTTAAAAGCAAGCAATGTAAACAGAAAGCAGTAAGAGGAAAGAAGCGGGTAGGGGAGATGGAAAGAAGGAAGGGGGAGGAGCATGGAAGGGAGGGAAGACGAAACGAAGCAGGCATCGGCACACTTCAAGCATTAGGTCCCATACCTTCACCACATCCAAACGCAAAACTGACAAGAGTTAACACACCAAAGCTCAACCACAAAACTAGAATAACCTATTCCCTCCTCAGGGTTACTCCCTCCTGAAATACTCTTGACCCAAGTGACTTGGCCCACTCACTCCCTTCCGGGCTCTGCTCACACATCCCCTGGGAAGAAAGGCCTGGCTGATTAGCCATATATGATAGCAACAGCCTCAACGCTCTCTCCCCTTTCGCCTTCACCCTGCATGATGGTTTTCCATAGTGTCTTCTCCGGCTGACACTATTTGTTTCTGTTCCTCAGTTTTTCTAGAATCTCTGTCCACGAAGATGCAACCTTTCTGTGAGCAGGGGCTTGGCTCTGTGGCTGGTACACAGTAAATAGTAAGTAAAGGCGTCACAGCAATTAAGGTGAAGGGCAGAGTGGCAGCCTAATTACTAGTAGATGTTGTCTAATCAAACTTTAAGGGCAGATACTTGCTGGCAAGTCAGATTTGAAAAATAAACAAGGAGGGGCGCCTGAGTGGCTCAGTTGGTTAAGCGTCTGACTTCGGCTCAGGTCATAATCTCACAGTTTGTGGGTTTGAGCCCCGCGTCAGGCTCTGTGCTGAATGCTTGCTCAGAGCCTGGAGCCTGTTTCGGATTCTGTGTCTTCTTCTATCTCTGCCCCTCTCACTCTCTGTCTTACTCTGTCTCTCATAAATAAATAAATGTAAAAAAATTTTTTTAAATAAATAAAAATATGTTGCTTAACTTAAAAAAAAAAAAGAAAAATAGACAAGGAGACCTCAATGAGCTTTACAATTTTTATTATGTATTTTTCCAGGAGGCTCCAAACACTTCCTATGTTTTCTCCTTGCTCTTTCAAAGATAGCAAAAATCTTAAAGCTCACATTCTTTTCTGAATGTCTTAGGTTATCTTTTATTTTCTTTGAAACAGAAACGTCACATTTCTTTTCTTTTGTTAAAAGTGAAAACCTCATATTCAATTGATATCTACATTCAGATGAGTGAGCTACCTAGAAAAAGATCCAGTTCGACAAAAGCATACGGCTCAGTTGAATAACATGTGTGTACAGAGACATTTTGGGTGTTCCACTAAGGATGTCACCTAGAAACATCCCCCTTTTCTTGCAAAAATCTGATTCCATTGGAAAACTAAAATTAACCCACTTGGGTTCACAGAGCCCAGAGAAAATACAAAATTTAATTCCCCAGAAGAATCTAGATCTTGCCAGATACCAGCAGCTTGAATTGTTGTGCTTATCTTAGACTGAAATGGAAATTATTTTTGGAATCAAAGCAGACCTCACCCATCCTGCCTACAACATGATACTATTTCTTTCATGGCCTTAAATGTTACTTTCCATTAAGCAGCTGTAATTTGCCAAATCTCTTTACAAAACTCGTTCTCTGGATGGAGGCGACAGCGTGGTGGCCTCCACACCAAAGCTGGAATCAGCAGGGATGAGCGTCCCCGTGTCCCAAGCGATTAATTCCTAGACCCTCACAATGGTCCTGAGATTTGTCAGGAGTCAGAATTGGATGTTAAAAGGAAGATGTTCTGGATTCCTCCCCACAGCCCCCAGTCTCAGGTTGGCCCAGTGCCTGACAACGGGCTCATCCCCTTCCATCCATCTAAGAATGTCATCGAAGGTCCGAGAACATTGCTACTAAGTCCTAACACCTGCCGTAATTCTTACGTCTCATCCAATGTCTGTCCAGTCTTTCTGATTTTGGTTAACAGTTTCTGTTAATCATAATTGGGCTAGTTTCTCCTTTGCTGAGCAAACCTATCCTTCAAGCTGTCACTATAAATATGAAAGAGCTTCTCTAAATCTTATTAAATTGCAATGTACCTTCTCTCAGGCGCTGCTGGATGTAATCTAATATCTACCCATCTCCAGCTATTCCATTCATTTCCGACTATTTCTTCCATCTCATTTATCCCTTAATTACCTGGTTTGGGTAACCAGAAGAGTCAAAGAAATTTAATGAATGAAGGAAGGTTCCATCCCTCTTTGGGGGAGGAAGCAAAAGAATATCAGGTCTATCTAATATCTAATACACTAAAGGAAGTATTAATATCTATCTAATACACTAAAGGAAGAAAACTGTGCCAAGCTGCAATTTTTACCTCAAGGTCCTGAGTCAGTCACACCCAGAGTATAAAGTTGCTTTTGTGTGACTGAGCAGTTTTGTTCCAATTCTGTGTGGACTTCTCCATGTCCCCCTTACACACACACAATCATGGCTGTGTGCACGTACATAACCACCTCTATACACACATACACACCCCAGAAAATCTGCATCTCCATTTTATTTCCAGGTAATATTGGACCCTGAGGAACTCATTACCAAATGGAGCTTTCAGATTTACATTTTAAAATCTTAGCTATGAATTCCTTAATCTTACAGAAAAGCAAGGGAATTATAAGTTTTTCGTAAATGCATTAGAGCAAGTATGCAAACAAAGCCTATCACTTTCGGCATTTGGGCAAATCCAAGAGCTTTCACGGTAGCTGGAGATTATCAACAAAACCCACCGTCATCTGCATGTGTTAATATGCATGTTTGCACAGTATAAAATGTCCTGTAAAACACACTCATACCTAAACCCCATGTGTATTTTCTCATTGGCCCCCTGCACGCACACTGCTGGGGTAGGGACCCATTCAGATTGCACACAGCAAGTTCCGATACTCAATAAACCCAAACCCTAGAGTACTTCTGTCTTTTAATTCTGCGCAAAACTCAGGATGCACCTGGGGCGCCTGGGTGGCCCAGTCGGTTGAGTGTCCAACTCTTGATTTCAGCTCAGGTCATGATCCCAGCTTCCTGGGATCGAGCCCTGCACTGAGCTCCACACTGAGTGTGGAGCCTGCTTAAGATTCTCCCTTTCTCTCTCTCTCTCTCTCTCTCTCTCTCCCTCTGCCTCTCTCTCCCCCACTGGTGCTTGCCCTCTTGCTCTCTCAATTAATTAATTAATTTTTAAAAAAGAAATTAGGATGCTCCTGCTAAATGGCACATAGTAACATCAGAAAATACGGGAGAAGGAATCCTCCTACCCCCGCCCCTTGCAGGAAACTGCGGCCCCTCCTCACCCCCCCCACCCCCGCCACCAGTGGCTCCACCTGGAGGTCCCCGGCAGGCGTCCCCAGAACATGAATCCTAGTCGGCAGCATCACGGAAATATATACGGTATGCCCTCTAGGCTTGCCCTCCTGCTTCACATGACAAAATGGGTATACCAAGTCAGTCTCCCTTGAGTAGGAAAGAAGGTCTCTCAGCCCCTTGTAGCATGAGAGCCCATGAGAAAAGCCCTTTACCAGGGTCTGCCGGGGCGATTCACCTCCTTGCCCGGCTCTGAATGAAGCACTGCCTCGAATCCCATATTGTCTTCGTTAAGCAAACCTTCTAGTAGGCCACAGCTACCCATCAAACTGTCGCTGTGTGATTTCATAGCAAAACCATTTCATGGTTTTTTGGTTTGGTTTGGTTTGGGGGTTTTTTGGTTGGTTTTTTTGTTTGTTTCTGAAAACAGACACAAACACTGAAAACAAAGAGAGCCAGAATAACTGTGGACACTTTTGCCACCAACGCGCCCCCAGTCTCTGCTCAGCTATGGTGATCTGCAAACCCCTCGGCAGGTCTTCCTGACCTCCCCCAGGCACTGAAAGTGAGAAAACATTTCTTACAGGCCAGTGGACTCTCATCTGCTTTGTTCTTTGCTCTGAAACCCATTCTTTTTTTACACTTCTGGCCTTTTCACCACCCCCCGCAACCCGGCTTCCAGCCCTAACACAAATAATCAACAATTCATACCCAGTTCTGTGCCACACGTGTAGTAATTCAGAGTAACTGATCCTGCTCGGTCACATACAACTACCTCTGCAGGGAAGGATTCCGTTTTGTAAACTGTGGTTATCCTAACTAACCACGACACGGACTGTTTAATCGAATTGACTCTGTGCTCCCAGGGAATAATGCAGGAGTGCACTCTCCCCACACCAACCAAGGGCCAGATATGAAGTATATATACATGGCAGTGACCATAGGCAACATGATTCTGAAGTCAACTTAAAAAGTTTAAAACACAAATACCCACTGTGCCTTTCTCCAAACTTGTTTGTGAGGATCCCTGAACCCTGTCCTCCTGGAAGAAAAGCAATTAATTTCTTGGGTTGCTCCCATCCCAAAAGCCTTTTCTCACAAAGGCACTTGACAGAACCCAGAAGCACTCATTTCTGTCCCCTAACACTGACAGTTCCTTGTGAAGGAGCTGAGGGACCACAAGCCGGGACCTCTACCATGGGAGCAGCCCTGGCTCCTGGCTCTTTGGCCTCATCGCCCAGCCTGTAGAACGGGCTTTGTAAAGCCTACACTTCTTCCAGGGCCAACAGCTAGACATGAAATTCCATGTGAGCCAGACATGACATGAGTTAAAAGAAAACTTCAGAGACTTCTTAGAAAGTGGGCATATCAAGGTACTTACCTTAGCGGTGAGTTCCTTAAGTGACAAGTTGAGGAATTTTACTTGTTCCTGGAGGCTAGAAGAAATAGAAAGAAGACATTGGTGTCCTTGGGATCATAGTTCAGTACCACCAAATATAGGAACACTGGGAAACAGTGAACCTTCCATCAGCCCAAAGGCTCAACAACATGGGAGCTCAACAACGTGGGAAAGATGATGCCAGATTGGTTCCATTTGACCGTGGAATTAACATGATGCTGGGAAGCAGATTTCTCCTGCCTGATTATGCTCCACTGAGGCTAGTCCTCAAATCTGTTAGTTCCATAGTACACATCTCCATAGTGCATGGACAGGGTGAAGGAACAACCCAGATGTGCTCCTGGCAGCAAAGGATGAAAATGTACACAGGATGGTCTACACAGGGTGGCATTTCACAGGCAGTAATCAAATACAATCTATGCAGGTACACTGTGCAATCCAACAAATGTGCACAGAGCGCTGGGTTTAACAGAGAGGTGGAGCGTATAGGAGATACATGTATTTCAAGTACATCTGAAATAGATTATCTTTACTCTCTTTAGCCTTGTCCATTCTTTTTTCTCCTAAGCACTATTCACCTTGACACTTTCGTTATTCAGGTGATTTCTCTCTACCCCCATGGGAATATAAATTCTACCACCGCAGCAACTGTCAGTTGGGTTCATGCCTGTCTCCTCAGTGCTGAAATCAATTACTACAGCTTATAAGTAGGCATTCAATTGAGACCTGCAGAAGGAAGGAAGGAAGAAAGGAAGGAAGGAAGGAAGGAAGGAAGGAAGGAAGGAAGGAAGGAAGGAAACTAAGTATCAGATCTTATTCTCAATGTTGTTACCAAAAGAGAGGAAGTACACCCAGACAATCAACTACAGTATAAATAAAGCGAGAAGAAAAATTACTATCGAGAATAGAAATCCAGTGTTAGGAAGCACCTGGGTGGCTCAGTCAGTTAAGCATCCGACTTCAGTTCAGATCATTATCTTGCCACTCCGAATTCAAGCCCCGTGTCGGGATCTGTGCTGACAGCTCAGAGCCTGGACCCTGTTTCAGATTCTGTGTCTCCCTCTCTCTCTGCCCCTCCCCTGCTCACACTCTGTCATCTGTCTGTCTCTCTCTCTCTCAAAAATAAAAAAAAAAGCTTGAAAGAAAGAGAGAAAGAAAAGAAAGAGAAAGGAAGGAAGGAAGGAAGGAAGATCCAGTGCTAGAATCAAAATGCTACATAAAAACTGTCACAGGCAAATACCATCTCCAAGGGCACGGTGGAGACAGGAAGTCAGGTAGCGATTTAGGAAACCAGGAGATTAGTGGGAAAGCTTCCTGGAAGAGGCGGAAAGTGAACTGGGCCTCAGGGGAAAAAGAGGGAAGGATGAAACTCCAGGTAAAAGACAAGGCCAGCTGGGCCATATGGTTCAGAGTCAGTGAACTGTGATGGGTGAGAAGGGGAAAGATTGCTTCTAAGGCAGGCAGGAGGGGCGAGAACAGAAGGGAGAAGTCTGTCTGCATCTGAAATGTGTGCTTATTTATTTAGGAAAATAAGTGGGGGAAACACTAATATTTGTTTAATCTCAGTGGTGGGTAAATGAGTGCATGTTATATTTTCCAATGTGTTTAGAATATTTACAGTCAAAATGATTCTTAAAGGAATAGCAAGGACCAGCTCTAGTCAATACCGAATGCCAGGCGAAGGAGTTCTGAGCTGTATTCCACAGGCAATGGGAAATTACTCCAGTTTGGAGCAGGAGAGCAATAGGAAAGAAATGGGGTTTTTCTGGAAAATTAATTGGGCAGCACTATGAGAGGGGGTTTGGAGGAGGGAACACCAGATGGCACCTTCAGCAGAAACCCAGCTGTGAGGCTGCACAGAACAATGGAAGTCAGGAAGGGAAGGAAGCCTGGACCCTTTCATTATGTTGATGCTGCAAAGCAGTGATTGTATAAGCTCTGGAGCTTTTCACTCCATTCACTCATTCATTCATTCACTCACTCACTCACTCACATACTCATTCATTCATTCTTTTGGAATCTACGGGGCACCTAGTAAGTTAGGAACTTGGCACACAAAGACATCGTCCCTGTCCGCAACAGCTCACTGCGGCTCAACAGTAGCCCAAAATTTAAGAAAAGAAAAAAATTAAAGAAAAAAAATTATAGGCACTAAAAGAGAAGAAGGCACTTAGCAAAATGGTGAGCGGCAAAGGCGGGGAAGGTCAGGTTTCCTGGGGTGTCTGGGAGCGGGGGAGGGGTCTGGGACAGCCACTGGAGCAGGCGTTGCCAACTGTCACAGGGAGGTTGCCAATTGGCCTGATGGCTGTCATTCTTCAACTGTAAGACCTGGTTTTGAATGTTGTCACTTCCACCCACCTGTGACTTCTGAGCACAAGCAAGTTCGTTTTCATTGAAAATGCCCGGGAGCTGGGGCAGGTCCATTCTAAGCAAGTCATCCCCACGTTAGACCTGCATTCAGCAGAGGAGGGGTGCATAGGTCAGCTGAAGTCAGAGGAGAGCTGACAAATAGCAGGGCATGGGGCAGTAGAGTCTTCTGGATCCTGGAGTCACGGTGTGACAAAAGTCATTGTGCTCAGTGGGAACGGTGGGAAGGCACATGTGAAATCCTCCCTAGAGAATTCTAGCTGGCTGGCTGGAGACAGCATCCTTTTTTTTTTTTTTTTTAATGTTTATTTATTTTTGAGAGAGATAGAGTGTGTGAACAAGGCATGGGGAGGGAGAGAAGGAGACACAGAATCCGTAGCAGGCTCCAGGCCTGAGCTGTCAGCACAGAGCCCAATGCGGGGCTCAAACTCACAACCTGTGAGATCATGACCTGAGCTGAAGTCAGCCGCCCAACCCACTAAGCCACCCAGGTGCCCCAAGACTGGATCTTCTGAATGGCGGTAAGTTTGAGTGTTGCTAACACAGAGAGCAGGGAGAAGATTCTGCCTGATTGCAGAGAAAGCACGAGCTCCCTGCTGCTGCTGTCTGAACTTCCAAGTTGCCATGGGCAGAGACGCATTTTCTGTCACCAGGCTCATGGGAGTTCATTCGACTAGTAACCTTTCAGTAGATGGTTCACCACAAAATTGATGCTATGTGAGCATTTAATGGTATTTTATAAGGAGGTGTTCCCAGCCTCACACACGGACGAGTTCATGCATTAACAACGAAGACAGATAGGTAGCAGGTCCACCTGCTGACCCTGAAAATTTAGCTGACCAAATAGCAGTGCCTTTAACTACTGCTCAATACGTCAACCACTAGCCTTCCAGGAATTGACACAATTCATTGGTCTTGGCTCAGCTCTGGTCCTACCCCAGAAAGAAAACGAGTCCCCTCTCAAATATCCATGTTAGAGCAGGGAGGAAGTGAGGCAGATAATTGAATGCATTGTTTCATATTTGATTTGATTTATACTTAATTTATTTAATTTATGCTGTATTGCTTTTTGCGGTAGATTTACCTCCCTAATTATGTTTTGCTCAGGCTAATATTAACATTGGTTGCATCCCTGGGGTATACACAGAATGAAATGAAAGCAACGGGCGGGGGGGGGGGGAGCAAACAGAAGAATATGAGTAATCTACATACCAGGCTAGTGGTTTCAAGCTATTTTTAGTAGCAGAACTCTTTCAAACAGATTTTACATAGAACCATAATATATAAAATACGTTTGGGGCACCTGGGTGGCTCAGTTGGTTAAGCATCTGACTTTGGCTCAGGTCATGATCTTGCGGTTCATGGGTTAGAAGCCCATGTCAGGCTCTGTGCTGACAGCTCAGAGCCTGGAGCCTGCTTTGGATTCTGTGTCTCCCTCTCCCTGCCCCTCCCCTGCTCTCGCTCACGCTCTCTCTCTCTTAAATAAATATTAAAGAATTTTAAGAAAAAGAAATAAAATAATAAATTATGCAACAGGAGATCCGTTCTGATTGAGGGTGGGGATCTGGCCTGGGGGTACAAACGAGGTCACACTGACCCCATGCACTTAGTGTTCTGCCATCACACTGTGATCCCTGACCCAGGATTCCAGGAGAATTCCAGGAATTCAAACTGAAAACCACCCAATTAGATAAGTTAAATGTTTACAAACAAGAGTTACTTGTACCTCAATGATTAAAACTCATCCCCATGTTTCTTTTAAGTTTGTATATTGTCAATGACAGATAAGAAGTGTCTTCTCAGATCAAATTACACTGTTCCCTGGCAGCACATATAATGTTTTAACAAGCCCATGAGATCTCACTTACTCAAATGTATCTTTTGTTCAACGCAGCCATCCTGGGAATAGCAGCTTGAAACATTTATTGAGCACTTACTACATACCAGGCACTTTTCCATATTCCTCGCATATATTAGCATTTTAAATTCTCACAACTCTGTGAGGTAAGTCCTATCGTACCTACATTTTCAGACAAGAAAACTCCAAGAGAGATGTAAGCACCTTTTCCAGGGTTAACCAGCTGGTAAATGGGTAAAGGATGAGCCAAGCAGCTCTGCTGTCTGTTCTCCTGACCAATAACCTGTACCTCTGCTGGCAGCCATGTACTTATTCAAAACATGCTCTCATTGTCCAGACTGTCAATTAGAATCCTATTTTATTACTTTTATTACTTTTTAATGTTTATTATTTTTGAGCAAGAGAGACAGACAGAGCATGAGCATGGTAGGAGTGGAGACACAGAGGGAGACAGAGAATCCAAAGCAGGCTCCAGGCTTTGAGCTGTCAGCACAGAGCCCGACCCGGGGCTCGAACCCACGAACCATGAGATCATGACCTGAGCTGAAATTGGGTGCTTAACTCACAGAGCCCCCCAGATGCCCCTAGAATTCTATTTTAGAATTACGACAAATTGACAATACAATCAATATCATGATTTGTGGATGCACATTATTCTTTACTCACAAACTGGTGTTTAAATCAAATGAGCAAAATTCACCTTCAACAAATGAAGCCTCAGAAAAATCAAGGCTGCTGGCAAGAACATGCCTCAGAGAAAGCACATCAGGGGCAGGTGGGTCCGGGGCTGGTGGTGGCAAAAGGAAATTGAT